GTATGAAATAGATATATCTAAATCCCTTAATTAGAAAACTTTTCATAATTTCAAAGTTCGTAAAGGTTGTAGATTAAATTCATTTTATACTAATAGTTTAATAATCTAGGATTAAGAAATATATTATAAACCGAAAAATAAAATTACATATCAATTAAAATTTGAATCCAGAATTATTGATGTAATTATTACACAAGATTTGGATTAACTAATCAATACATACTTTCTAACTTTTACCTAAGAAGAATAAGGCGTTAAAATAAGCCTTTATATTATTGATATATAGAATCTTGTTCATTTATATGATCTTCCATTCTACTAATATAAGCCAAGACATCCATTAAATTATAAACTTTAATCTCGATATTTTATGATAGTTGTCTTGGATGATTCAAATGATAATTGCTTACTTATCTACAATATTAAAAATTAAGGAAAAAAATCGCTAATAAAGATTATAAAATTACATAAAGAGTAAATAGCGTATAATTTTATAGAAAATTAAGACATTATAATTTATATTAAGGATGGGAAAATTAGATTTAATAAGATCTAGGAAATTAACATTAAGCTAAACTATTTGGATTTAATAAAAAATAAGATGGATTTTTACACAATCAAAAATTTAAATGTCAAATTCGCATCTTCAATTAAAAGTCTTAATCAATATATATGCATGCCTTTAAAAATACTTCATCTAAATACTATTTAAACCTTAGCAATTATCAATAATCAAGTCTAATTGGTCAAATAAAATGGATACTTGAATCTTAGCAACATTTACGGTAGAATAGATAAAATTGAGTTGATCCATAATAATAGCATTATTGAAATTAATCCAGTAAATTATACATGGAATAGAATAGAGTGCATTTTTTATAATAATGATGTCTGCTAGATTAGTGAAGAAAGATTTATGATCAATTTTTTTACAATGGGACAAAATATTTATACATAATAATTCATTTAAAATGTTTAATCAGCAATTTATGATAAAAAATAATCTAAATATATTTTGATATGCTTTTCTAAGGTTACATATACTGTAACGTATTTTGAATTATATCTCAAGTTTACTGAAACTAAAAATGCTAAACTAACTAAAATCGAGAAATTGGAATAGACTTTTGAGTTTCATTATGGGGATTGTAATTTTATTTAATATTCTTTTAGTTGGTACTTATGATAAATCCTATTACTTTTTCGATTTAATGATTTTTTCAAATCAGGGTAAATAAAATCTAATTTTATAAAAAAATAACAATGCTTTGATTAGATTAAAAGAAATAGAAAAAGAAATTCAGTAATAAATTCTTGATTGTTATTAATTGGATGAAACAACTTATATGTTTGCATAAATTAATTAGCATCAAGAACTAGAGTTTTTTTTAATTCAAATTAATATTATTGAAAATATTCCAAATCAAACTAAAGTCAATAATTTTAATAAAATTCTGAATTCAAATTTTCTGTATTCTATTTAAATAAGCTTTTGACAATTATAATCAAATTGATGACTTCGATTTTAAAAGCACACTGTTAATAATCAAGATAATTTCAATAAATCAATAATCAAATTAAAATTTCAACATGTAATACTTATAATGTGGAGAGTCTCTCTCTTTTTGTGTAATTAAGATTTTAAGATTTAAATAAACTCGCTATATAGATTAAAATGTAACTGCTCTTCTAAGACTTGAAACCTTTAACTATTAAACTGAACATGTATATTCAGACGCACAAATTGTGATATTT